TGCGGCCGCGTGACGAACTTTTTGGCGTAGCACCAAATGCTCACCAACCAGTTCTGAATGTCGGTTGTATCGACACATCATATGATGTTTTACAAGCAAGCAGTGGTCGATTGTTGGCCCCCGTCTCCGGTGTGGATCTTTGAGAGCAGATTTGACGCAATCCACCGTTAGATCCACATCGGAGAGGCGGACCTGACAACATGCCGCTGTTCACGGTAATCATCATGTGGGAGTCGACAACGCGATGACCCCGCAATGTTCCAATCGGGAAGTTTTTTTGTGTTCTGTGCAGGTGCTGAACATTCGGTGACGAGAAGGAACAAGCTCGAGCGGCCCCAAACTTCGGATGGATCCGAGACACAAGACGACATGCCGGACAAGGTCGATTGCAGCGTCGGCCAGCGTCGCTTAGTCACTTTCGGCCTGGCAGCGGCTGTTGCACGGAGGGCTACGGAAATGGCACCACATTTCACGGCATCCAATCGAAAAACCATCGTCGCCGTCACCGGGGGTGATCACGAGCCTTCGCCGTCGCGATAAAAAGACCCGACGATTTCGCAATCGGGACGTGCTATGCATTCTGCGCGGCTGCTTATCATCGGCCCATATGCAGCGTATTGACGCAAAGAGGAGTTTCTTTCAGCGGGTGTCCAGGGTAACAGACGACTTTTGTGGGGATGAGAATGAAAACGCTTATGCAGCCGGCAACTTCGGATGAATCCGAGACAAAAGATGTTCTGGTGGACATGCATGATTACAGCCTCGGTCGTCGCCGCTCACGTCATTTTCTGCCATGCAGCGGCTGTTGCACAGAGGGTCACGGACACGGGCACCACTTTCATGGCAGTACCAGACGATCTAGAGGGCGACGAACTGTTTGGAAGCGTCGTTTGCCTCAAAGGCGTGCAAGAACATAAACTTGATGGTCTGCAGTTATCGAATCACACATACAGAATCCGACGGGTAGTTGTTTGGCCAAGGATTGTTCTTGGGGAAGCCTTCACGCATCGCCTTCAACGTTGGGTGCACCCGCATGTATCTGATTGATGATTCGGATGAATCCGAATCACTTCAAGAACGTCAGCTTCGCAAGTTCAAATGCAACAACGCAGATGTCAACTCTAGTCGTCACGAGGGAGTCTCCTTTTTCCTTAAACACAAGGTATGACCACACGTCCGTATCTTGTGACATACGGGGTCTCCCGCGGACGAGGTCGTGAACGGAAGCCATACAAAGCATTCATAGATGATCCATACACATGAATATGCGGCTGGTCGACTGTTGCCTTCTCCGAAAACACGGACATGTATTTCATCCTTACAAACCCTCGTCGTCGTGCTAAGGAATTCCCTATACAGTCTCGTATTTCAAACACTTTCTTTTCCACATCATCCCACAATGACAGAAAAACTCTTACCTGACCTGCTCTCACCAAGTCTGACCGCCCATCTACATCTGTGCGAGACATGACCGCCTTGAACCTGGATCCCTGAAGCACCATCTCGTTGCATGACACAAGCACAACTGCATCCACAAGTTTCCTGCTTTTGCTTGAAGAAGCCACACATAGCACTCTGGGGAAAGGACATCCGTCATCCGTCAACCGCACACAACAGTACAACAGAGTTTGTGGAGAAGTCACTGGGCAACGGGGTGGATAGTGTTCCAAGAATGAACAATGACGAGCGCAGTCCACCAACTCTTGCTTCTGCGAACTCCCCCAAGTTCGTGGCGAAGATGTGATATACTCGCAGTGGAGGCGACGTCTGAAGCTGGTACGGAAGCGGACCGGTTTACCCTTATCGTCCAGGGTCTTTCGATGAAGGACACCAGCAGGCAATGCAATGAGGCTCCCGAACTCCAACATGTTGGCAAACTTATAATGGCTTGCCCATGGGCAGGAACGCTCCATCGCCTTCCAGTCATTTTCGTTCCATTCGTTGAGATGCCGGTTCATGTAAGGGACGACGGTCGTCCAAGGGTCGTCCTCGAAATCGTCCTTGGGTGCATCGTCGATCCACATTTGACCGTCATGATGCCGCAACGATCTTGCACAAGGTGGAAAGGGTTTCGCTAAGCGCATGTGCCTCTCGTGTAGCATGGCCATGCTTGTCGAAGGACTGGACGACATTATACTCCCTACACAACACAAACACATGGATAGACATACGGGAAAGGAGACGGTCGTAAACAATGTCGGTGAACGATGATTTCCCCGACGATGCCCACACCCAGCTGTAACGCCCTACAATTTTTTGTCGGCGAAGCCCTTACAGAAGGCCGTCAATCAGAATCGTCAAAAAAAAAATATTTCCACGTCGCATTGCAAAGCCCTTACAGAAGGTCACCAATCAGAAGTTCACCAAGCCAATGGAGTGTTTTCTAAAAGTCACGCAGGGACCCGTTCCAGAGCAGATGCGGGATTTCCAAATGATTATCAAAACCCACGCCGTAAACCACATTGAGACGGACAGAATAGTGGGACGACCCTCATCGAACGGAACAGCACACCGACGCCGGACAGGCACATCACACCGCCTCATCTACAGAAGACGTTTTCGCACAGTCGACATGACAAGTACTTTTCACAGAGCCACTACCTACCACGGTCATTCTGAACACGAGGTGAACAGAAGTGCAAGACAGAAGCTCATCCAAGCCTACCGCACCGCCCCGAATCCGAGGTTCGGATCAATCCGAGCCACCCGCCAACAGAAGTCCTAGACAGAAGCTCATCCATGCCTACCAGTCCGTGGTACGGATCAATCCGAGCAACCGCCCCGGAAAGATAGACATTAAATGGGATGTCGTGCGACCATACCGTGGCTCGGATTAATCCAAGCCACCGCTTAGTGACCTCGCCTCACTCGGAGGGATGTGGCAGAAGGATGAGACACCCCTGGAATCGAAGGCGGAGCCAGTAGGAAGCAACACGTCCTTTGCAAGGTTTGCCTTAGTGCCCCATGTGCAAACAAAGAAAAGCCAAGAGTGGCAGACAAATCAGACTCAATCGCCGTCGAACTATGAGGTTCGGATTAATTATTCGAACCACAGCAAACGGTTTCAGTCAGGCGGTACCCAGACGTCCTGCGAAATATTCACATTTGGCCTCTCGGAAGGACAAATAAACAGCGAATGCCATGAGTGTCCACCATCGGTTATTGTTGCATTCAGGATGCGTGGCGTGTACCGCCGTTTTCCTTTCCCGATGAGACCTCCCGTCACTGGGCGTGATACTCACCTCGGGACTCCCGATGCGGTGAGGGATGTGGTTCGGATTGATCTGAGCTATATCACACGTTTAGGAGTGACACGGAATTTATAAGTCCTGTGTAAGTATTGCACAACCCAATGCGGAATAAATAAACACAGACAAAAGCCACGACTGCTGTCCGTCACTCGTCTGTGGTTGTGGTTCGGATTCATTCGAGCTACAAATGAAGGCAAAAGCATATGGGGAGCTATCAGAGTCATGATTTCTGGAGATGTTTACTTCAAAGCGATCCCCTATGCCGTCGTTGTCCCTTCCATTGAGACATCGGAGGGATGCGGTTCCCGTTGAGACTTCCCACGAGCCGAGGGTTGTGGTTCGGATTCATCCGCGGGATTCATCCGAGCTACATCAAACGTTCCGTAGTGAGGCGAAACAGAAAACATCCAGTCCTGTGTGAGTATATCACAACCCAATGCGGAATAAATAAACACTGACAAAAGCCACGACTGCCATCCGTCAGTCGTCTGTGGTTGTGGTTCGGATTCATCCGAGCTACAAAAGAAGGCAAAAGCAGATGGGGAGCTATCGGAGTCATGATTTCTTGAGATCTTTACTTCGAAAGCGATCCCCTGTGTCGTCGTTGTCCCTTCCACTGAGACATCGGAGGGATGCGGTTCCCGTTGCGACTTCCCATGAGCCGAGGGTTGTGGTTCGGATTCATCCGAACTACATCACACGTTCCGTAGTGAGGCGAAACAAAAAACGTCCAGCCTGAGAATTGCATGACCCCTCGTGGGAGACAAAGAACAACGACGGAAGTCGTGAGTGGCGGGTTGTCATGGACAGGGGGTCACCTCAAAACTCTCGATGGGGGAACGTTGCGTGAAAACAATGGATCGGATGTAAGGGGGGCATAGTCATCCAACCACTGGCATCACAACTGACATCTACGATTGCCTTCATCCCGAGCTTGGATGAATCCGAACTTCATCCGGGACAAGTGGCACGAACAGCACTCTCTCACTCCCGCTGCAATCCCACGCACGCCTCCCTAAGCTGCTCTGGAAAACGAGGCTGCGATTAATTGGAATCGAAATGTGATCGGCGTGGATCGAGAGCTGATCGTTCCACGAGGTCATTGTGCGTTCATTCAGCTCAGATTTCGAGACTGCAATCGTCGCGAGGATTGTCCACGTCAGAGTATGCCAAAAACGAATCGTGGCGAGGGGACGGGCTGCTGCACGGGCGGCGGTGCTGTGAAGTTTTCCTGTGGGCGCGATGGAACTTGTAACCGCTAGTTCCATATCCAAAATGTTGTCGATGCGTGTCCAACATCTCGTGCCCGTTTGCGTGGCGGATCCTCATTGCTAGCTGCGTGTGCGAGAACGGGCGATGAGACAGGGAACGTTCAAGACAACAAGAAAAAGATCCTGATGTCGTTCATAACCGCGATAGACATGTTCAATCACCGAGTCGATCGGAAATGAGTTCGAAGTTGGCACTTGGCGGTGGGATGTCGCGGGATCGGCGGTAATCTGGGATGTTTCGGATTCGTCATGGGTATCCTTTGTGCGCAACGGGTCGTCGCTGAACGTTGTGGATGGGTGGCTTCGCCACTGTTGGCTGTGAGTGCGACACGGGCGATTCCTATTGGAGGTGCGCGTTTGTCGTGAGGCTTCCAGCTATCAGCGCTGCGATAACAGATCGTCCGATAGACGTCAACACCGGAGATGGATGGACGGGATTAAAGTCGATCGACATGCGTTATTCAGATGACGTCTCCGGTGTTGACGTCTATCGCGTGATGTGTTATCGCAGCGGTGATCACATACCGCGATGTTGGGGACGCCAGGGAGCAACGACGATGAAACTTCGTCCACACGTCAGATGCAGTCGTCGGAGGCGTCCGACGATCTTGACTGCGAAAGCCGCAGGCCGTTTCGAATTCCAATGGAAGGGAACTTTCGTGGTTGTGAGCTGCGGACATCGTGGACTGGAGATCGCGCGCATGTCGACTCGTGCGTGATAGACGGAGCAGGCGGTGATGTAGAAGAATACTCGCACAACCGACTGCATTGCGATATCCTAAGTAGACTGGGGGAGGACGACCCGCGAGCCAGGGTCCACGAAAGTGTACCAACAAGCGATGTCGAGGACGCCAAGACTCGAGGGCAATGCGACTTTCTCCACGCGTCAGATGCGGTCGACGGAGGGCGCCAAGAGTAAAGGGCGATGTTGAGGACGCCAACAAGCGATGGTGAGGACGCCAACAAGCGATGTTGAGGACGCAAACAAGCGATGTTGGGGACGCCAAGAATTGAGGCCGATGACTGTGAAAGCCGCAAGCCATTGCCCGTCGCTGACATAATGTGCAAGATGATGATGTCAGCGTGTGTCACTGCATGGGGTCTTCCGTCGTTGTGATCGATGGGCGTCGTGCGCTCAAGATCGTGCGCACGTGATTGGCGGAGCAGGTGGTGGCAGAGAACAAGACTTGCACGGTCGAAGGAGCGGAAGGGCAATGGGAAGAGGTGGGGGCTTGAAATGGTGAAGGGGTCGAGCAGGGGGCGTGGGCTTCTTACTGACCTGCGAGTCGACAAACGCCTCCAGCCAACACAAGAAAGCACAGCGCAAACGGGACGACCCGCAAGGTTTACAGTCGCGTGACGTTTTCGTTAGCGCCCCCGGCTATCGACCATTGCTGGAAGAACGAGGGCCTGGATGCGCAAGGGGCCTGCGATTTGATGCAGGCGACTTCGAGCGACAGCGGACGCGTCACAAAGGCAGCACACGGAAGAAATGACACCAGCGAACGGGTGTGACAGCCACCACCATTCGTTTGGTGCCCGACAGAAAAACGGAGAGTGCAGTGAGTGGGGCTTGAGGGGCCCTTCAGTTGCCCGCCGCAGGGACTGCCGCGTCGGGGGCTGTGACATCAGGCGGTCTCTTTTTTGACGGACCCTCCTCACGAAATCGCACGGTTCGAAACCGTCGCGGGAGGGCGGGCCGTGATTGCGAGAGGACTGGCCTTTTTTCATCGTGCTATCGACGGTCCCAACGCATCATCTGGCGCAAATTTTCCCGCCCACTTTTGAATATCGTTGCCCGCGCGGATTTTACCGTGATATCGACGGTTCCAACGCGTCATCCGGCGTGACTTTTCCCGCCCACTTTCGTTTCTTGGGCCCCGCTTGGATGTATCCGCCTTTCGAATGACGGTGGTGCCATTCCGCGAATTTGCAGGTGGGCATTGCAATCGTCCGAAGCAACAGGCAATCGCAGGTGTCGCCAACCCTCACGGCCGAAAATGCCCGTCGCGCGCCCGGACCACCCGCCCTTGCCAGCGACACAGCCATCTCGTCGCCGAGGGACACAGCCATCTCGTGGCCGTCTCCCCCGCCGTTTGCCCAGTCACGGTTTTGCCCTTTCACACGTCGACACCTCCCTTTTCGCGCGTCGCGACACGCGTCGTCGTATTGTGGTTTGAGATCATCAACCAAGTCGCCGGGGCCATTGTTTCCAACAACAGTTGTAAATCGAGGAAAGAAAAGGTGCGTTCTCTCTCTCATTCTATCTCCCTTTCTCATCTCTCTCTGTCTC